ACCGCTGCCTGGGTCCGGGTTCTCGGCACTGACTTCCTCTGGGCTGCCTGAACCACTGCTCTAGCTGTTCTTCATTCTGTGTTTCTAGTCTTGTTACACTTCTCCTGCTTCTGGCTTCTTGCTAGGACCTGTCGCCCACAGAATCAGCAGATAGGTAACAAGGCCCCATGAGGCAAGAGTATGCTAGTCAGACACATTTTGGGGGAACTATGTGGCCACAATGGACAGGAATCAAAACTCAGAAAAGGAAAAGTATCTGACAGAATTGGTCTACGGTATGAAATTTCTGAAAAGGAGAAACACTTTTTTCCAAAAGATAGAGCCTCAAGCCCTCGACGATGACAAATTATTTTCTTATTCATCTAATATTTAGCTTTCCGTTGTCACTACGAGTTTTTCTCCTTTAGCCTGGAGACCAGTCGCCCTCGTGACATCCTCCTCTTCCCTCCGCATGTCTGTTCTGATGGAGAAGCGGGGAGGAGAAACTGGTGTACTATTTATTGGTGCTATGACGGGTTGTCTAGCTGTAATAGGAAGGTCGAAGGAGGGAGGGCTGGGGAGACTATCATTATTGGGGATGACAATTACCTTTTATCCAGGCAGTCAACAGCACTTTCTTACTATAGCGCATCTCCATGTAAGCTTAGATGTACAACTTGAGAGATATTTATAAATAAGAGGCATTTGTGTTAATACTGTGAGAGGTAAATTTTGGGACTATGCGTAATATAAGATTACCTACTGACAAACGCACAGCACAAAAACACAAACCAAAATGCTGTAATCGCATAACCTAGGGGTCAGAGAGGGATATCCCACTATCTTTTAACCATGACCAGCACAGAAGAGCAAAGATATGACATTTCAGCATGGTCACCTCTTTAGATCTGATTTTAACTATAGACAACTTCTTCCAAGTTAAGATGCAATTACAGAGGGTGCCCAAAGAATGCATACACATTTTAAGAAAGGAAAACTGTATTAAAATTGTAATGCTTAATATATACCAATACAAAAGATGAATACAAGTCACGTTTGACTTCTGCAATTACAGTGGTGCTCAAAGTAGTTCCCATCAGCGTCCAGACACTTGTGATTACGGTGAACTACTGCCTGAGCAACGCTGACCAAAGTGTCCACTTGTATACATTTATCTGGCACCGCGGCATATGTTTTGCTTGTCTTCTTTAGGGCCTGGAGTACAATGTATTTTGGGGAAAGACTAAGAAGGCATTTAGTGCTCAGCATACTTAACATCTGTGTATCATGTGACACTGTGGTTCACTTCCTTTTGATTCTATGTTTTGTTCCAAGATGCTGTTTTCCCTTGTTTTTCTCTTATTCCTGATTCTTTTCAGCCTCCTTTGTTCACCCTGTTCCTCTGTCCACCAGTGTTGGTGCTGTAAGGATTTCATACTTTGTGTTCTCTCTATACATTTTTTTCTAGGTGACTCATCTATTATTTTGCATTCAGCTACTCCCTAATAATTCCCAAATTAGTATTTTTGCCCAGACCTCTCATCTAAGATCCAGACGTTTCTATTCAACTGACTGCTGGGCCTGTCAGCTTTTTAACTGCCTTCTCTGCTTCTAGCTTTTCCAAGTTTCAATTGATTCTTCACACTTCTGACAGTGATTAGATTGTCACTGCTCCACTCAAAAGTTTTCAATGTCTGCCTACTGCCTTCAGCATTAAAAAATCCAGAGTCCTTAGTCTGATACAAAAGAGAGTTCAATATCCAGTCCGGTCTCATCTCTCTAAAGTAAAGAGTGGTCCTCGGAACAAGTCCGCCACCCTCCCATGATTTTGAAAACACTGCTCCATATGGAAAGCCCTGCTGTACCATGCCTGTTAAAGGATTAATTCCACCTGTTTCAAAATGAGCTCACTTGGCAACTAAATTCAATTTTTATTGAGAACATATAAAATGCCAGACACTAGCAGTCATGGAGTTCCTGCAGTCATGGAGTGTACGTGTGTGTGTGTGTGTGGGGGGGGGGAGGTGAATGAATAAATAGGAAACTATCAAGTAGTGATAAAGCTTATGATTAAAATGAAATAAGCTACTCTGACAGAGACTAGGGAGGTTTCTTTAGATTGCACAGCCAGAGACTTCTCTGAGGAAGGGACGTTTAACCTGAGAGCTCCTCTCAGAAGCTACTGGAATCCTACAGCACTCATTGTACTATTTTTAATTCATATAGTTTACTTGTGCAGTTCCATCCCTCTCCCTACTCACTTCTTGAAGGGAAGAACTCTCTCTTTTCAATTTGAATGTCTCTCTCCTAACGCAAAGCCTGGCATATAGTTAATGTTGAATAAAGGCTGCTAAATAAGTCAATGAAATAAACGAGCTCTCACATGATGGAGTGGAAAAGGAAAGAGCCCACACAAGACTTCTTAGGGCCAAACAACAATGACACTCAGAGGAACGGGGCTGATGGCCCCACTGTCCATCCCACACACCCTAACTTTAAAAGGGAGGAAGTGGACAGCCGAGCTCATCAGCCATTGGATGTGATGCCTGTGTGCACTCCTCCCGAAGTCCTCCTAGGCCTTGATTCTGGCTGTTCTTGGTTTTGTTTTCTCCACACCCAGTTACTTCATCTTCTTCACACACTTGACCCCTGCTGCTCTGCTCATGTCCCCAGAGCCTGACTTCCGTCAGCTTGAATTTGCCTTCTGGCTTTAACCACAGCTGGTAGCATTTCAGCTTGTTCTTTGGTATTCATGAGACAATGCAGTGGCTCCGGGTTTTCCTACAGTGATGGTCTCAGCTTTGTTTTCTGGTTTATACAAACGAAGAATGACGCTGAATTATCGACTCAGTCACACATACTGCCATTAATGCCTTAAATGAATCCTGCTCTAAATCTTGGTTTTCTCTAGCCATAGTGTGACCATGTAATGTGTCACTGAAACTGGGACTCTTTTTAAGAATGAAATAAAAGATGCTTTTGATAATTACACACGCCAGGGGGGCAGCAGGTTTCGTGGGCTCCCTCTCTATCCTGCGGTTTCCTAGAGTCTCTTTTCCAACAACGACTTCGTTCTCAGCTTTCTGCTGTTGGCTGGCCTTAGAGCCTCCACTAGGCTTCAGATTTGACCCTTTCAGCGCTGAAAGAACTTTCCAGGATTGGCCAGTGCCTTGTGTAGAGATCCACATGTGGAAAGTCTTAGTAAGGGTAATAATACAGCTAACATTTACCTCTTACTATAAAACAGGCATTGTGGTAAGTATTTTATATATTTTATTGAATTCTTTTCATAACCTAGTGAAATTTCTTCTATTTTAGAGCAAAACGAAACAGAGGATTCAAGAGGTTAGTTTTCTCAAGGGCACATATCTAGTACATGCAGAGTTTATACTTGATCTCAGGTCTATTTGTCTACAAGTGTTCATGGTCTTAAATACTATAATCCCTCACTGTAAAAAATCTTTTAACAGGGACGATATCTATCACTATAAATAAAATATCCACAAACCAAATGAAAGCATAATAGGATATAATATTAAAACTTCTTAGCACTCTTTTTTCAAAACCTATTCTTTTATTTTCTTTTTGACAATATTTTAAAATCTACTTGTTCTCAACAACTAGAGAGAAAATTATGAACTTTAAAGTAATCTGAAAGAAATGTTATCAATTCCCAATGATGAAAAGAATTCACAATCACCAAGAGCCATTTTCTATGCTAACACTGTCCATCGACTCCCTTTAATGTAATCAGAAAACGTGCTTTGTCTGTTTCTTACCTGCTATACCTCTCTCATTAACAACTATCGTAACTATATTGATTGCATAACATCTACTCGTATTTCCTAGACTAATGAATCTCCAAAGTTTGCAGTTGTACAGCTCAACAGTAAAGAAACTTGAGCTTGTGCTCCTCAAAAAATGCACGTTTAGAAATTATATACATCTACCAATATAATAATGGATTGCATACATGCTAGAACACACTCCATAATGGAAATAAAAACTATGAAATTGAAAGTAAATGAAAGTTCTAATAATCTTCCCGTATTCTAAAGCGTCATCTTATCTTTTCTCTGAAAGACCTCTGTAAACTCACCATTTAAACTACTGCCCCTCCAACATTAATGTGTTTATGCATCACCTGGAGACCTTGCTTTAAAATGGAATCCGGTACATTTAGGATGAGCCTGAGAGTCTGCATTTCTCTCTAACAAGCTCTCAAGTGATGCTACTGCTGCTCACATACTGAGTGATAAGAACTTTAACAAAAGATCAACGAAGATTAGCCAAACTTAGGTTGCTGTTTTCCAAGGGGTCAAATAAACAGCTGATCTAAAGTCAACTTTCCATTGTAAGGAAAACTGAGAAAAACTACTTTGTAACCATACAACAATCATTATACACAGTAACCAATAACATCAAAGAACAAATCTGAAATGCAAATAATCATCTTGACTGAGCATACACTTGTTACACTCAAGGTATAAAGAAACTGATTTTGTTCTCATAGTCTCCTTTTCTATCACCAGACAGCAGTGAATAGAAATGAACAAAAGAGAATAAGACCAAAATTGATTAAAACATACATATTTTCATCTGCTTCCAACATGAAATTAGTAGACAGGAAGCCTAACTATTATCAGCTATCATTTATGTTTATTTTATATTAACAGTCATAGCAATCTGGTTTTGTTTGTTTTTTAGTTTTTAAATAAGTGCAAAGGGAGAATGGCCAAACAAAGTGTACTATTTAACAATCCTATCTTAAATGTATACAACTTTAAAAGGTCCAAACAGTTTAAATGTACAGGACTTGACCTATGAAACTCAGGCAAATTCAGAACATAAGCAGAATAAAAGCATTGTGGTCTTCTTGTTAATCTTGCCATTCCCTGACAAAATCCTAAAGTTCCAATACCACTGACTGCATGAGAACATCTCATGCTGACTCTAATAATTTCCAACAATCAAATACACCACACGAAAACTAACATCATACCCCAATTCCAGTTATTTACCTTGTCAATCATTTTTCTTGCTTCCACCTCCTCACTGTTGGGATTCTCTAACTCAATGGTATAAGTACCCTTGTCACTTTGGTCATCATCATTATCCTTTTCAGAAGTAGCAGCAGTAGCTTGACTTTTTAACATTTTATCCATCTCCTGGCTCGGTCTGTGCCCAAGACTCCCTGAACTTCTTAACAATGCAGTTTGTAGGAAGGGAATTGACACCGATGGCTCCTCTGAGTTCTGTTTTAACAATTTCCCATGTGGAACACCATGCCCCCCTCTGTGATGCGCAGAGCTAGTCTGTAAAGACAAAGAAACCACTTTGGCATCTGCTGTTGGAGATTTTGTTTTTTCAAGTTTTGCATGTGGTGTCGAGTAAGAAGTTTCCTGACACAAGGTTCCCGCACTCTGAGTAAAAGAGTATGACCTTCTTTTTCTGGGATTGTCTTCCTCAAAGAATGCAATCATAAAAGCGGTTTGACTTACAACAGCTTGGTCTAGATGCTTTTCGGCAGCCTGAGCCTTCTGTAGCTTTTTCTGCTCTGAGTGGTGGCGCCTTAAGTGTTCCTCAAGTGTTGCCCGTTTGCTGCAGCGCCTGGGAGCCCCGGCATTTTCTGAATCGCTCTGTGTACCATCGTCGTGTTTATTTCCTGGACACAAAAAAGAAACCACATAATAGAGAAGGAAAAAAATCCCGCGTAGGAAATTAGAAGCATATACAAAAGTGCTGTTTGTTTTGCCCCCTTTCCATTTTCAAGCCCAAGTCATATGTTCGTTTCAGTAACAGGCTCTGCAAACTTCCCTCAGCTGCAATGCTTACATTCAAATTCGATCAACCAACAATGAGGTCCTTTATAAACAACTGAATAGGATTGTCTCTCTTTCTCCAAATTTTAACTTTATAATGATTTACCAATGTCTTTACAGATAAGCAAGGCTATGTCATCTGTGACAGTATGTATTGATAACATTATTCAACATTAATCCTTCCTTCAAACCTTATAACTTTTTGAGCAATCAGAAATTTGTTTCTAGCATTAGAGAGGAAAAGAAACGAGAGACAGAGCGACCCCATTGAAATGCTTATCATTATTCAGGACATGAGAATACGGATGCCAGATGCCATCAAAATGTGATCTTAACTTTCGATGCTGTACATACACTACTTACATAACTATAGTATATACATTTCCTTTTTAACAAAAAGGTGCAAATTTATAGTTTCTACCAGTTACTGTAAAATTATTTACAAATGCCTTTCTAGCTGTGAGAATTTTTTAAAATTTGCATTTGTGCTCTAAACTCTGGTGGCTTCACAGAGTAAATAAAGCACGCTAAAAGGCCTATCATGAAAAAGCATAGTCTATACAATCTTATGTAATTCTAAGCATCTACTGGGCAAATGACATGGTGTTAAGTATGGCCATATAAAAATCTATCTGTCTTCTCCATAAAGTATATAGAGTCAAGTTTAAATATATTTGAATTTTGAAACATCAGCTTTCTCACAGAGGCTTTTTGCTACCCTTCATAGTTCTATGAGGGATTAAATGAAAACTTTATGAAAATTACTTGATTTTTCACTGATTTATAATTCTCATTACCTAAATAATATTAGAAGCAATAATCAAATAACTACTATATTATTATAGCACAGAATTATTAGATAGTAAAGCGTTATCCTATACATCTTTTAGACCAAATCATAAAATGAGGGTTTAAATGATGGTTTCTTTAGAAGAAAGCTATCAGTGAATCTAGTCAACCAGGTACACGCCAATGCTTCCATGACGAAATCTGAGTTTTAAATTTTCCTGGGCTACACATTTTAATCTGAATATCTGCTGAAGAAGGTGGCATCGAATAAAATGAACAGAACTGACAGACTCGGGGGCTGGGAGGGACAATGAACGTATGTCCCAGGAAAATGTTGAGTTTTAATGATCATAGGCTTGTTTCTAAAGAGGTTCCCAGGTGGTGCTAATGATTTAACATGAGAGGCCTGGCTCTAAAAGTGGGGTGCAATAAAGGAGTGAGAAGACTCAGAAGGGAGAAAGGCGAGCGCATGGAAAAGGGTGACGCTTTGGACAACAGGCAAGGTAAGCAAAGGGAGTTAACGAGACCCACGGAAGGGTTTGGGGAGCACTCCCAGCACAGTGGTAGAAATATTAGAATCCTCAGGCACAATAACAACTCTGAAACTCTTTCTTTCAAATTAGTAACAATTCAAAATGCAATCTAAAAAGAAAAAATCGTGCCTTAGGTCATTAAGCTAGGAATTAGGGATAACAGTTGGAATGCAAAACCAAACAAAACCACTAGTTCAAATATAAACTTGTGAAAAACATGACATTTTACAACCTGTTTCATTGTAGCATTGGATATATTGAAAAGAAACCCAGTTTGTAAGAGCTGGATATAACTAAATTCCCATATTTCCTGCATAATGAGACCAAATAACCCATATCACACACATATAACATGAGACCACCATTTTTACAGAATTTAGTTCTTGTACCAACATATAAAATTTGGCACATAAGTAGCATAGACATTTCAGTTTCTTTAAGTTATAGCTTAAAATTTTTGTTTTAATTTACAGATTAGCCACTTTCTTTTTTGGAAAGTTGTTATTCCTTCTTGTATTTCTTAGTGTCACACACAAGGTAGGACATCTCATCAGAACTGAAATTACTGTTCTTACTTAACAAAAAAGTCCCTAGGAAGCTGTCCTCACCAAGTTCCTTTCTTTCTGTTTTGTCTCTCGTTCACCATGCCTACCTAAGATGAAGTTCTTTCAGTGTTTTTACGTAGGCTAGCGGCACCAGGTCAGGAGCTGTGGCCAAAAGAAGCTGCACCTCTCCTAAAGGGTAAAAGTGTATGGGCTTTGTGAACATTATTTTCTTCACTGTCCCAAAGCGCGTGCACTTTACTCTTGTAGGAGCAAAGTTTTTTGGGGTTTGTTTTCTTTTGCCTAGTTTTAAGTTTCTGACTGATCTAAACAGTTGCTGAGAGGCTAGTTACTGTAAAATTGTTACTACTTCCTATAATTACATTTATTTAGTCTAGGTATATACTTCTGACATCCTAAAGTGTGGAAAATCTTTATCCAATGATAGCAGCTCTGACTTTGGGGAAAAGTCAAGTGTCATTCGTAACTATATCTGGAGAAATAAAATGGATCTATCTTGGACCAAACTGAGTTACAGTCACAGAGATATTATCTTGGATGACTTGTAAGATGGTCTGAAGGCAATCCAAAAGAACGGTTGTAGCAATGGCAACATACTAGAATATATGTCTACCTATAAATCAACTTTGAGGAATGACAGTAATTTGGCTGTATAGTTTCTGATAAGGTTTTCAAATATCTGATCATTAATATATAGATACAGTGTGAATGTGGGCATTAATGCCTCTATTTGGAATTAGACTTGTTCAAGAACAGAGAATGTCTTAAAGTAATGACTTAAAAATAACAGTGAATATGGAAAATAGTGATAATGGCTAAAAAAGGTACAATAAAAGGGTTTAATGCAGGTATTTTTAAAAATGGTAGCTTTTAAAAGAATCTTTTAGCTACTTTTTATACATTTCTTAAGAGTGGCTTTAAAAGGATAATGTTATTTCCAAATTTTCAAGTTTTAAGCTACCTTTTATATTATTCTAGGGTATATTTTCTAATTCATAAAAATGATCAGTTTACAAATGGATAACTTTTATTTGTAAGCTTTGACCTATACCTACATATATAGGTCTCAACTATGTATTTAATATTATATAGAAGTAAAAAATAACAATCACATGTCAGAGTACACAGGCCAGGTAATTGCTTATGATTGTAATTAAATATAGTAACAGGCTCTAACAAAAAACTGGATAATCTCACCATCTCACTACCCTGAAATACCTTAGAAGCAAATCAGAAATAGGTATTTCTTCATTACTTGATCAGATTCCCAGGGCATAAAGTAAGAGTTAAGCCAGGGTCTTTCTTGTCATTGATAATGAAGTTATTCATTGTTTATTCAAATTACTGAGCACCTATCACATACTCAAGTCCCAGGTGAAGTGTTAGGGATACAAGGTAACTAATATATAGTCTCTGATCTCAATGAGCATTTTATTTTAAAGCTCATTAACTCCTTGTATAGTTGACAGAATGGTCAGGTTAACATATAATCATCCACTTATAGAAAGCTTATTAAATAGAGTAACACAAAACTGTATTCAGTAATTCTAAAATAAATTTAATTAGCAAAACCAATGGAAAAAATTGATTAATACCTCAAGGTACAGGTATAAAGATTTTGCTAATTTTGGCCAAGTATTAAACTAAAAAAGCATAGATAAAAACTATTTCACAAATAAATAATTGAATTGTGATTTTTATAAAAATCTTATTATTGAAAAAATTTTTAATTCAATTGATTCCCAATATTTCTAAAATAAAAATCTTTGTTTCATGAGTTACCTCTCTGAGAATAGTTTGAAACACTCTATCAACAATGTGACTATATTACCAAAGTAGAACTTTTGGCTCATTATCAAATGACTTAAAATTTCTCTCAAAATCTAGATATTGACATTTTACTTGAAGTATCATAATAGAGAAGAACAGAATTGAATATATCTTTTACTTAAGTCAAGAAAATGATGAGAACTGTGTTCTAGGGAATTCCACTGATGAACTAAGGTAAGTCTTTTATTTCCATAGGAAAAGGAGACATATTTAATGGCATAAATCTAAATTTACAAAACCAATCTGGTTTTGGCAAGAACATGAAGGCAGACTTATTTTGAATATGTTGGACATGGGCAGTATGGTTTGCTTTTGAGCTTTAAAATCAAACATAAACCTTAGAGAAGCAGAAGTTTTCTACCACACAATTATTTAATAGTAGTCTGGTAACTGTGAAGACTGAATTTTGTTTATCATAAAATAGGAAGTTCTGAAATGATCAATTCACTTTACCTTTCAACCTTTTCAAGTAAACTGGAACATCACTTTTAATACTTTTGGAATCCTCTTCCGTTCTTTCCCAGACCATCTGAGGAGGGTTGTTCTGTGCTAGCCAGTCAGCTACTTTGTTTTCAGGTGCCATCATTCCAGTTTGAATCCCTGGCAGGTCTTGAGTTCCGGGAGAAGACTTCTTTGACTTGTGGCGCTGCTCAGAAGTAAATTTTGTCACATGGTCTCTAATAGTTACCTTCCCTGGGGTACTGTCATCAAATTCAATGGTAAAAGAAGCATGCCCTGCACCTGTCGTATGGGAACTCGGTGTGTCTTTTGTTGGGATTTCATGAATAGTGCTTTCTGTTATTTGTGATGGTTGCTGAAATTCTTTCGTAGGGATTTCAAAATAACTTGGTTCCCTACAGAAAGGAAAAAGTACTTCTTCATTTGCAGCTGCAGATTGTTCCTCAACTTGCTTGGCATCTAAGCTGCACCCTAATGAGAAAAATAAGAGAAAATTCAAAATATTTGGGAGCTTCTAGCATTTGAGGGAGTATAGAAATGGCCATTTGTACTACTTCAAGAGAATCAGAAGGCAGATCACAGTCTGGATGAAAACCAGTGGTAAATGTCAGAGAGAAGAAATAATTTTGATTATAAACATGGCATTTGGTTACCAGTAGCAGATGCAAGATAAGCAGCAGCAATGGCAAAGGATAGCAAAGCAAATAAGAGATGGACCTTGAATGGATAGGTCCATTATTTTTCCCAACTTGGATCTAGAAATCATCAAGGTGCAAAAGAATTGAAATCACATGTAGATGGAGATGCATATTCAATGTATATAGAGATATCTTGAATGACAGAAAAAAAATATGAATTTCCTTATCAAGTAAGGAGGATGAAATATCTGAAATATCTATGAATGCAAGTAGAGTTTCAAAGGAGAACAGGTGCTCCAGTGAGGAAATAAACATGAAGTCAGTATGTAAGCGATGTTCTAGAAGTAATGATTCCACTTACCGCTCTTCACCATCACATTCAGAACCATTACTTTTAGAATGACCAAAAAAATATAACTGATGTATCATCCTTGCAAGAAGATAGATACATTTGATGAAGAATAGAAGAATATTAAAGACAAAACATGTGGTTTGCTTGAAGCATTGCAATCCAAGCGGCAGTGTGAAAAAAATAAGGTAAAAATAGAAAATTTTATTGCCAGCCATTAATTCCAGAAGAAATTTCACATACATTTCTACACAGCAGAATATGCACAAGTGTCAAAAATCCTTGGAGGAAAGCTGAATTATAAATCTCAGATCAACAAGAGTTGGCGGGAGAAGCAAGCAACTGTGGAACACTATCATTATTCTTCTGTTGCCCCAGAAACAAATATAAAGGTATAAAAATAAACAATTTATACATAAAATATGTAAAGGTATATAAATACAAATGATTGAAATGTTTTCTTTAAAGTGTTATTAGAAGTGCAAACGCAGAAATGTATATATATATATAACTGCCCTGTTTTTCAGGAAGCAAAAGAACCATGTCTATTATCAAGATGGTAAAGAGTGAGTTCAAATGAAAACTATTTCCCTAAAGCTCCAAAAAGCATTCCTTTTAAAAATAGATTGAGAGGAAAACCATTTGCAGATCATTTATTAGGGAGAAAGGGCAACAGAGGGATATGAGGTTGTTTCCAATCATTTTCCAATTAAGTGAAGTACTATTTAGTCTTTTGAAACATCTTTTTTTTAGCTGAGCCATCCTGCCACCTGTTGGCAGCTCAGCGGCAGCTCAGTTCGGGCCAGGACTCGAACCGCTGTTGCTAAGAGCTCAAACTCTTGAGCAAGCTCTTAACCAACTGAGCCACTCGGCCGGCCCGAAACATCTTTTGAATATTAAATGTTGATGGGATTCTTCAGGTGCTGTACCTGACTTCTGGGCAGTACTCTGAATATGAATCAATCATAAAACTGTTTGCTTTTAAGTTATATAGGATTGGGACAGCAACATTTCTATAATCAAATGTGGGGTATAGAAGACATTAAGCTCCAATTCAAACCACAAAAAACAAAATAAAAAAAATCTATACACAAGGTAAACAAACAATATCTAACAAAAACAATTTTCAATGTAAAAATGATCCTTTTCAAAATCTAGTTTTTCTCACCACTGAAAATGAAAAAAATTGTATCAACAAAAACCTTTACATTTTCAAAGCAGAAATTTTACATGCTATTTGAAAGAAGTTTCAAGACTCCTAATAATCTAAAATCACGCTTTAAAAATTTCTTTATTTATCTTTTTCTTGAAAGGCAGCTATGCTCACCACTATACCACCAATGCTGCACAATTTATTTTTTTCTTAATAATAATAATAAAATGTCCACTTGGACTTTGAGTATTTACTCTGAAGGCCTGTCACTCAAAACTTCCAATGAGAGCAAATGTATTAACCACTCCCCATATATTAATAAACTCATTAATGTTATTTTTATATATTGATTTATGTACAATGTACTGTACTTGATCAATTCCATATAGTACAACTGGTTTATAAACCTATCCAACCAACATATATTCATTCATTCATTCATTTATTTTGCTTTACGCATCCTTCAGATAACAGAGTAACGCTAGGGACAAAGGGTAGTAGTTTTCTACTAGCACCACCTGCATATCCATATAAAACAATGTGGCTGAACTATGAAGCAAAAACTACAAAAAGCTGGTTCAGGGGTATATGATTTATCATCCACTTGTCACTCAGCATTCAAAGAAATCTTTTCCTCCATTGTGAATGAAAAGCTCCCAGTTAATATTAACATATTTTCAACATGTTTTGACATTATAACACATTAAAACAGAAGAGATCAACAACTGCACACCATTGCATTTAAGGTTATCATTCCCTTAGTCCTACTTCAAAATCATCTTTACTTCAAGGACTAGACACCTGAGACTTAAATACAAGTTAACACTTACTTTATCCAGAAATCAGTTATCTAACAATGTCAAGTAGCGTAACAGAGTGGAAACTCATCATGTTATGGCCTGATGATTATAACCAGGCAAGCTGATCTAGTGGAAAGCAGGGACAAGATTTGAAATCAGATAAATCCTGTCTCTCTTAGTCTTTAAATCTCATTTCCCTCATAGTAAAATGGATAAATAGTCATATCTATCCATAAGATTATTGTGAACATAAGTGAGAAACAAACACAGGGAGGCAGCCAAAATGAGTAGAGAAAGAAACAAGTCCCAATGAAAGAAGAGAACAAAGCTCCAAAAAAAGACCTAAACAAAATGGGACAAGCAATCTACCAGATGCAGAGTTCAAAACACTAGTTATAAGGATGCTCAATAGCCTCCATGAGAACATCAATAAAGAGATAGGAAACATATTGGGCTGTCAGAAAAGTCATGACATATTTTTTCTATGTTTTTCGTTGCAAAAATGCATCATGACTTTTCCGACAACCCAATAAAAATGGAGATAGAAAACATAAAAAAGAACCAGTCAGGAATAAAGAATACAATAACTGAAATGAAGAATACAATAAAGGGAATCAACAGTAGATTAGATGAAGCAGAGGATCAAGTCAGCAATTTGGGACATAAGGTAGCAGAGAACACCCAATCTGATGAGCAAAAGAAAAAAAGAATCCAAAAAATGACAATAGTTTAAGGGGACTCTGGGACATCAGGTATACCAACTTTTGCATCATAGGGGTATCAGAAAAAGAAGAGAGCGCGAAGGAATTGAAATCCCATTTGAAGAAATAATGACAAAAATCTTTCCTAACCTGGCAAAGGAAATAGAAATACAGCCCAGGAAGTGCAGAATCCCAAAGATGAACTCAAAAGAGGCCCACAACAAGACACATCATAATTAAAATGGCAAAGAATAAAGACAAAGAAAGAATCTTAAAAAGCAGCAAGAAAACAGCAGCTAGTTACCTACAAGGGAGCTCCCATAAGACTGTCAACTGATTTCTCAACAGAAACTTTGCAAGCTAGAAAAAACTGGATGGAAATATTTAAAGTGATGAAAAGCAAGGACCTAAAACCAAGATTCCTCTACCCAGCAAAGCTAACGTTTAGAATTGAGGGACAGTTAAAAGAGCTTCCCAGACAAGAAAAAGCTAAAGGAATTCATCACCACTAAAACAGTACTACAAGAAATGTTAAAGGGACTTCTTTAAGAAGCAGCAGCAAAAAAGATAAAAAATACGAATAAGAAAATGGCAATAACTACACATCTACCAACAATTACTTTCATTGTAAATGTATTAAATGCTCCAATCAAAAGACATAGCGTGGCTGAATGGATAAAAAAACAATACCTTTACATACGTTGCCTACAAGACTCACCTCAGATCAAAAGACACACACAAACAAAGTAAGGGGATAGAAAAGATGCTTCATGAAAATGGAAACAAATAAACACAAAACAGGAGTAGCAATATTTATACCAGACAAAATAGACTTTAAAACAATGGCTATAACAAGAAAAGGACCCAGGAATTCCACTTCTGGGTATTTATCTGAGGAAACCAAAAACGTTTCTTCAAAGGGACATGTGCATCCATATGTTCATTACAGCATTGTTTTCAATGGCCAAGATATAGAGATCACCTGGTGTCCATTAATGGATCAATGTCTATAAAAGAGATGGTACATACAGTAATACCTTGGTTTGTGAGCATAATTTGTTCTGGAAACAAACTACTCATATTGCAAGACACTTCTCGTTTACCAAGTTAAAATGTATTAGACATGTTTGCTCGTCTTGCGGAACACTCGCAAACCACATTACTCACAATCCAAGGTTTTACTGTATATACAATGTAGTATTACTCAGCCATAAAAAAAATAATGAAATCTTGCCATCTGCAATAACATGGACGGATCTAGAGGTTACTGTGCAGAGTGGAATAAGTCAGACAGAGAAAGTACCATATGATTTCGCTTATATGTAGAATCTAAAGAACAAAACAAATAAACAAAACAGAAACAAACTCACAGATACAGAGAACATTTTGAGGGTTGCCAGATGGTAGGGTGGCTGGGGGTGAATAAAAACAGTGCAGGGATTCAGAATTACAAATTGGTAGTTACGAAACAGTCATGGGGACATAAAGTACAGCATAAGGAAGATAGTCAATAATACTGTAATAACTCTGTATGATGTCAGATAGGTACTAGATTTATTGGGGTGATCAGTTAGTTCATAAGTTATATAAATGTCTACTCTCTATGTTGTACACCTGAAACTAATATAATATTGTATGTCAACTGTAATTGAAAAATAAAAAAATTAAAAAAAAATAAAACTACAAATGATAAATCTGAAACAATAATATACTAATATAAGCAAATGAGACTCTCATAAGTCTCATAATCAGCAGAATCTGACAGCATGCTTTAAGCTATTTAACAGATGTAAATCACTTAATTCCTTTTTAATCAAAAACAATCCCAACATTATGAGATAACTTGTCATCTCCCAGAAATGAAACTCAATAAGACAAGCCACGTAAGCTGATAATCATTTAAGAATTTAGTTTCGCTCACACAGATAAGATTACTGCTGGATCCTTCACAGTTTGAGATTTATTTTATTACGCTGAATTATGAGGGATCAATTTTTCATGCCAATTTGTTTTTAGAGTGTTTGTTTAAACCTCTGTACTCTACAAAGTATATCTTTTTGTAGTGAGTGAGTGAGTGAGTGAGTGTGTGTGTGTGTGTGTGTGTGTGTGTGTGTGTGTGTGTAAAATGGTTGCTGAAATGTTAACTAATTATGGTTAAAAGCCAAGCAGCCTGGGTTCCCAGCTACACTATTTGCTAGCTGGGTGACCTTGGAAAGTAAATTCATATCACTGCACCTCAGTTTCCTTATCTATAAAACAAGGAAAACAACAGTAGCCACCTCTGAGAATTAAATGATAAAACATATGCACGGTACTTAGGAAGTGTCTGGATAAAGTAAGCATCACTGAAGTATTAGCTATTATGAATCAATCACGGTTCCATCTCCAGTACAAAAATTATACATATACTTCATTGTATTCTAGAAGTTATGTGCTTTAGATTTCAAAAGTTGTTTTGTGTGTGAGGGGAGAGGAATCGATTTCTAGCGACTAGATAAAATCACAATTATTTTCAGAATTTGGCAATACTGCTGTTATATTCTGCTGCATTTTCTCTTAAATTAACTACCTAATAATTAGTACATTCTCTCTCTTCCCCCGTATCTCTCTCTCTACCCCTCTCTCCCGTTCTCCCTCTCCCCCCGCCACCCCCCAGGTGGCTCTAGTGCACAGATACTTGATTGTTGAAATAAGGAACTTAAGTTTAGATGAGAAGGCGTATACACAAAAATACTGAATCAAAAGTGTTACCTATTAGCAATACATATATGTAGACACATCATTTAGAATTTTTTAGCACCTGATGTATGTGTAAATTTGTGGGAGAAAAGCAGACCAGAATTAGTATAATTTATGTGGAAGTGCATTGACAGAGAGCACTAAAAACCACTGGCAGTGTATGACAAGGCTCTCAAAGGAAAGTGGGACAAAATTAGAGAGAACTTTGACAAAATCTATTTGGCAGGAAAAAGACAGCTACTGTCGTTTCGTGAAAAAAAGAAAACAAACAGCTTAGATTTATTGTGCAAAATGAACGGCAGGCGCATTGAAACTGGAGGTAGAAAGGTCAATTATGACTCAGTGAAACAAAGGCAACAGAAGTCGTGATATATTAGACAGATGAGGGGATGGGAAGATACAACGATTTCAAGTACAGCAGGCATTCTTGATTGCCTTCCAATATCCATTTCTTGTTCCTCTCTCCTAAAGGAACTCCAACATTCCCAGTTACCCACTGTTTCCTGACACAGCTCATGAGCCTTAGGGGAAAATTAAGCCCATACTCAGCTTCAGGGTGGGCAAGATTGGCTTAAGGGGTAATCTCCTAACCCTTGCTAGGGATTGGTTCAGAAGTAAGCAGGTGACCTACTCCTGAATCTGTGAGAGGCCAATGAGATAAGAGATGTGTTGAAACTTTGCGTAAAGTTCTTCCAATTGTTGGGGAGAAGCAATCTTTGCTATTTTCTGCCGGCTGTGATCAGTGGCATACCCCCCTGATGGCTGCTGGCAGGCAGCGTATGAGTATGAGGGAAACTCCCCCGTCTACGGCCACTGTGGATAGAAGGGCTGAGACAGGGACTAGCTAGCTGATGGCACTGCTGAATGCTGCATTAACCAGTCCTGCAGAGGCTCAGTGACTTAAGCCAGTCAATGTCCTTCCTGTTTCATCTCAGGAAGCATTTCTGTTATCTGCATCTCAAGAACACTAAGTTTCTGAGCTCGGGCATGAAGAAAACAGTGCTCGTCTTAGAAACCAGGAAGCTGTGATGGGAACTTATTTGCAAAGTTGACAACTTCAGTTTGGAGCACTGGAAAATCAAGTTGATAACGCCAGCTTTCTGAGACATGTATCCTGGTAAAATGAGAGCATATTTAAAGAACCAATGTTCTTAATTCTCCAGCTAAGAAAAATGTCTTATTTATCTTGTAGATCTAGGATCAAAGGTAGAAAGCTGAGAGGTGTCCTTAAGGAATCTATCCTTGACTCAGAGTCAGACTTGCTTTTCCATCCTGCTCCCTGGTGCCTGTACTTAATTCCTCCAGTTCTGGATCCTTATCTGCTGTTGTCACAGACACTGGCTGCTCCGTCTTCGGCATCGATGTCTTTGCCAAGTCCTTATGTGGCAGACAGTTTATGCCTCCATGTGTGTCCTGGAAACTTGGTTTTCTGACTTCTGGACACTTAGTTCACTACTGTACCCTTCCAGCAACAAAAGAATATGTTCCTTGACTTAATCTGAGAACGTGATCCGGAACTATTTCTTCTTTCTGGCTGCTGAACTCAGCTAATCTTGTTGCTACCATATCCCCACAAACTGGACACACT